CTTCAAAGATATCACCCTACCAAAATCTAAATTCGATCACGTATCATGCATTTAACTTCTATAACAAGGTTGACAAGATGTTGATCGTAATTAAAGTAATAAAACAAACTCCATCGACACAAACATAAATTCATTAAAAGAAAAAGGAATCAAACTAATATTTGCAACATAAGATTCATCACAACCCTAGGTATAAATTTAGTTATGTATAGTGAAATTCAAATTTGAAATAAGAACACTAGACCAAATGTAATTGAAAATTAAAATGAAGCAAAAGTAAGACAGAAGAAAAACCTTTGTCGAAGTGATGAGGTTGAGACAAGCAATAGATCCTCAAAATGAGCTGGTAGTGACTCTAGGGAAAGATCAGCAACAATTTCGAAATATCTCCTTGACTTTTGCATCTCTTCACCAAAGGGAAAGAGAATGAATCTAAAGTGAAAAGAGAAAGTGATGATGTGTGGATGAGAATGGAGAGTTGTATCAAGTGTGTTCCTCAGCTTCATTTATAGTACTTTTCTTCTATACTAATTCATTATCTTTATTCAATTTGAGATTTTGATAAGACATTTTTCATTTCTGTTTGTTGATATCTTCGTCAAATCTTCAACATTCTATCTTTATTCTAAATTATCCATTTTCTAAATCCTAAACCTAAAAAAGTATAGTTAACAAAAATATAAATCTCATCACAATAATTATCTAAAATATGGCTAAAATATTCAATGAGTTTTTTAAAATAATTAATTAAAACATCAAATTTCATAATAAATTTTTTTATTAAAAACATACATGAACCAAATTTACTATTTTGCAATAAATAAGAAATTTGGTTGAAATAAGTATTAATCATTTAAAATCATGACAAGTTTCACCCAAATTTATATGAATAAATAGACAAAATGACGTTTTATCATCCTGCTCTACTATTGTATTTTGAAACTGTCATGCAATTTATTTTTTGTCTTGCAGCTTTATCAACACATAGTTTTAAGTGGAGGGAGCACCATGTATCCTGGATTACCAAGCCGGTAGTCTGTTATTTCTCCTTTACATTGGCTCTAATTGTCCTTAATCTTTGGTTTTCTGAGATTTTGGTGTTTATTATTATATATGTTCACACAACATCTATTACATGACTCTTATCTCACCCTTTAGTTTCTTTTTCTGCTAGATTCATGCAATGATATTTTAATTGTATATAATGGCAATTAAAGTCATATCTGTAGGGCTACATATGTGATTGCCTGTTGTCCATTTTTCAGAATGTTTACAGTACCTCCTAGCACATTTTTTTTCTTTGGCTGAACGTAACTTCTAGAGCTCTAAATTATATATTGGTAATTTATTTGAAAACTGAAGACTGGATTCCTTTCTTGTTAGTTCAATAGATAAAATCATATCAATTTAAAGATGCCTAATTCTTGTTGTTATGTAATACTTTGAGATTTAAATAAATTAGTATATTTCTAGAATCTAGATTATTTTGCATATCAAGTTTAAGATTTAAATAAATCATTTTGGAAGCCCTTTTCAGTTTTTTATTTTCAATCTTGTGAGCATGCTGTCTGGTTTTCTAAAATATTTGGTTATTTTTGCGTGTTTCCAAGTTAAAGTTGGTAAAAATGTGTTCCTCCTCCACCCCCCCCTTCTCAGATTGGAAAAAGAAATACTTGATCGTTATCTTGACGTTGTTCTGAAGGGCAACAGAGATGGACTGAAGGTAAGCTGACGTTTTGTTTCTTTTTATTTGGGTGAGAGAGAGATTTATAATCATGGCTTGACCCAACTCATTGTTCTGGCAACCTATTCTCATCTTTTCTGTTCTGATAATCAGAAATTACGATTAAGAATTGAGGATCCACCACGTAGGAAGCACATGGTGTACCTCGGAGGTGCTGTCCTTGCTGGAATAATGAAGGTTTGTCTTAACTGTTAATTTTTAGGTTGTTCTCTATCTATAGCTTACTATCCTTGTAGCTGCGGAAGCTAGAGAGTATTCCCCAGTTTGAACAACCATCATCTAAGAAAGTTCAACTCTGGTGGTGGTGGTTAAAACCCAGGATGCACCAGAGTTTTGGATTAACAGGGAAGATTATCTAGAAGAGGGCATTGCTTGCCTAAGCAGGTGTGGCCAGGCATGACTTTGAGGTCTGTGATCGCACTGAAGATGGGAGATCATTTTGGGAAGCAAAAGCACACCAGAGGCTGAGTGATGAATATTCAAAGCTGTTAAAACTGCCTCCTAAAATAGCTTGCATTAGTTGCTGTTGTTGGCCTTGTATAGCTGTCCCTAAAGCTAGTGAGGGCTAGTTACTTGTGATAGTATATGCAGTTATGTTTTCTTGATCGATACGTCAAACGAGTTCTTGTATTTGTGTAACAAAAATTGTTGCAACTTTGTTGACATAATGGTGAATAAAGGATACATCGTCTGTAAATTTTAAAATTGTTCCTCTTCCGTTTTGCTTTGTTGTGAGAGCTTGTATTACGCAACACATTACACATATTTGTCGGCAATACCCAAGTAAAAGGGTAATCCAGCGGAGAAAAATAATGTTACCTTTCTGTGCATTTGTCTTGTGTGTGTTTGTATATATATATATATATATATATATATATATAATCTTTCTTGAAGTACGGGCCAAAATAAGCTTGCCATTGCGGTTTCTACATCGTATTTATATCTTGGTCGTTGTCTAGTGCCTTGCCCATGCATGTCAAACTTTTAGTGATAACACGGGATATAATTCTTAACTTTGATTTATATTATTATAAGAACTTTAAATTCAATGATTAGTAAAATTTTCTTTTAATGCCAAGTTATTGATTATATTATTTTATTATTTTGATATTTACCCTGCGATTGTGAATTTAACATAATAGTTATAATTAGTAATGATGGAGTAAAAATATATTCATATACATTTAAATGTAACTTTAAGTATGCTATTAATATCATTTGATCCATATATATACGTTCAACATTTACTGGATTTTTCAGTACCCAGAAGTGTCAGATTTACAAATTTAGCAATTTTGGTGCATCCAATTTTATCTAAAGTTGACTGCGACTCCTGAATGAGTTTCATTTCTGGGTTACCAGACCTCTTCTAGTGAGCACGATCAATTATACCTAACCCGAGTTGCTTATGAGGTAATAATATCCGCGTTACACAATGAAAACAGCTAGAAATGTCATAAAAGTCTTCAACGTCCATCAAACTTCCGTAGACTTTGTAATATATGCTCTTGTTCAATTAATGCTTCATTCTCATCTTCAGTATGGTCATAAAGCTAGAGTGGCAGATAAAATAAACTAAAATTAGGATTGGTTTATTGCAGTGCTCAAACAATTAAAGGCAGTGGATAACTATCTGAAAATGGGAACCATAGAATCATTAATTCTCTTTGAAAATTTGCCCGGTAAAGGCAAAAAGACAAAGGATGTCTCTATCTGTAATAAACCACCACCTTCATTAAAATGGACCACTTTAAATCGTGCAATAATCATCATTTAGATAGATGTTTCGAATATAAGTTAATCCAATCTGAGATTTCCTAATGCAAATCGGAACAAAAACTTTTAAAAATAAGCATGTTGCGTGTCCTTGGCACCGGGAAAATGTTCCAATTCCAAAAGTCAAATGAAGATTTTTATGATGTGCTTGGTCGATTGAAATTAAGCATTTGCTAACAAAAGTAGCATAATTTTAAAAAGAAAAATTTAAAAATATATAAAAGCAAAGGATTAAAAATATTAACTTATGAAAATAATCATTACATGTTTAGCAAATCATTAGAAATATTTAATACAATATATCAAGTGTATGAAGGTATTTGTTTTATATATATTTTTATCTAAAGTATACATATAATCTACTAGATAATCATGTTTGAATCGAATAGAACTATTATAAAAAATAAATAATTTTATGAGTATTTAACGTAATTTTATTTAAAACTGAAACTCAAACTTAAGTTCAGCTGGAACAATCTTAACAACTGCTTCATGTATTTGATTTTAATTTATTTTATATTCAAAATAATAAATCATTACTAGATACAAAATTTGTGTACAAGCCTGGTCTGATTTCCCTCCCATTACACATTTCTTGCACCCCTCCTCTTCGTCCCACTTTCGTACCAAAGTAATTAAGTAATGACGTTAAAATAATTTATATTCAAAATTTTTATAATATTTTGTAAATATTAATCAAAAGAGTGTTGATATTTTTAGTCGGTCTGAAATCTCTGTATATGTACAGTCTTAGCCAATTATAAAATGAGAAGCAATCAACTTTTTATGCACTTTCTCTTGATTTGAACGTATGTTAGTTTTTTAAATTGGCTAGAATTATGCATACGTGATGGTCCCGAATCATAAAATAATTTTTCATATCTAGGAAAGAGAGAGATAAAAAAAATTAATTTAAAAGAAAAATTTGAGATGTGTGATAAATACTGTAATAAAAAAAGTATAAGAAAAAATAGGGTACAAGTAAACTATCAAAAAATAGGTGTAAAAATATTATTATTGTAATCAAAATTAAACATGCACTAAATAGGAAAAAAGGTTCTTTAAAAGATCACGTTAGCAAGGTTCTCAAAATTAGACTATGGTACTGAAACACAACCATGGCACTTTTAAGTTGACTGCCAAAATGATGATGTGGGAAAGTAACAACTAAATAAACAAAATATTAGGTTAGCAAATGTGGGATACCAACCACACCAAACAGGCCCATCTTCCTTCTTCTTCTGACTGGGTTCCTTTTGTCTTTGGTCTCTTTACTAGTGGCCTACTCTCACCCATAAGTCCACAATGCACACAAAGTTTTTTTTTTTTTTAAAAAAAAGGAATGTCATCAAGTCTTCTAAGGACACCACGCATTGTAGCTTGCACCGTTGTGTATGAACAACTACCTCTCACCTTCACATTATATTTATTTTCTGCCAATGCAATGTTTTGAACATCTAAGAACTACTCCGCCCATATCATACATATATACCTTTCAACTTTCTCTCTTAAAGACACATATTACCATATTGTGTGAGGGACACCCCAGGTATGATAAACACAACACATGTGTTCCTGATGATGTTTTCAATATTGCATGCTCCTAAGACCCCTCTAAACTGTTTCCTTTTCTATTTACTCAACATGTTTCTATTTTTTTATCGTACAGGTTAATAAGGAGCTTGAGTTGAGATGGAAATTGCTAAAGAGAATGGTTTCCAACTTAGTGTGAAGCTAAGTGAACCAACTTTAGTTCCTCCTGCAGAAGAAACAAAGAAGGGGTTGTATTTCCTATCTAACCTTGACCAGAACATTGCAGTGATTGTGAGAACTGTTTATTGCTTCAAAACGGCTGAGAGAGGGAACGAGAAAGCTGGGGAAATGATCAAGAATGCATTGAAGAAAGTTCTTGTGCATTATTACCCTCTGGCTGGGAGGCTGAATATTAGCTCAGAAGGGAAACTCATAGTGGAGTGCACAGGTGAGGGTGCACTTTTTGTAGAAGCTGAAGCAAACTGTTCAATGGAAGAGATTGGTGACATCACAAAGCCAGACCCTGGAACTCTTGGAATGCTTGTTTATGACATTCCTGGTGCAAAACACATTCTTCAGATGCCTCCTTTGGTGGCCCAGGTGAGTTTTGTCACTTTGTCTTGGCTCTTGTGCTTGATATTAATGTAAACAATCACGCGGAGTGAGAGGTTTTATTTTATTGTTTTGGTTACATAACTCTAGGTGTTTATAAACATATGCCAAGTTCATTACTATAGAGAATAGAGAACTGTCAAGAAAGACTAGTACATCTAGCATATATAATTGTCAAACTCTTTGTCGGAATTTATATATGAAAACACGTGGCAGTTGTTTTGAAGTTCTCTCAAGTTTCTTAATAGGTTAGCAGCACAGCATTCTGTTGAGGGGAGTATAGGGATGATGATATTCACTGACTAAAATGAGTTTTAGTTTGTGGATGTTTATAGAAACCGTACAACATCAGGACGTTTGCTGTGAGAAAATGTTTCCTGTTTTTATGTCTTTATAAATAATTACAAAAATATTATCTTGTTTTTGCTTTGGTTCTTGTTTCTAAGAATTTGTATTATATAGGAAACAAAACAAGATTATATATCTTTTTTATTATTTCTTGTGTAAGTCCTTCAAAACAGAAAATAAAATAATAAATAATGGTGACATTTTTTATAGTTATTTAATGAAATAGGTTTCTGAAATCAAATAGATCTTATTTTTCATGCTATAGGAACAGCCGGCTTATGCATTTTGCAAGTACTTCAGTTGCTATTTCTGTGTCAGTACTCCAACATCATAGTATCTCATAATTATTTCTCCTTGTTCTTATAATAGTGATAAACACTAAACGGTCAATTCAATCTTACCGAGAGGATGAAAATGATTGAAGAGAAGGTGTCTCACTTTGCATTGATTATTTCATTTTTGGACTGTTAACTCTATATTTCAGGTGACCAAATTTAAATGTGGAGGCTTTGCTCTTGGGCTGTGCATGAATCACTGTATGTTTGATGGCATTGGTGCAATGGAGTTTGTGAACTCTTGGGGTGAAGTAGCCAGAGACATGCCTCTCTCAATCCCTCCAATACTAGACAGAAGCATACTCAAGGCACGAAACCCACCAAAGATAGAGCATCTACACCAAGAATTTGCTGACATTGAAGACAAGTCCAACACCAATAGCTTGTATGAAGATGAGATGGTTTACAGGTCCTTCTGTTTTGATCCTGAGAAACTAAAGCAACTGAAGATGAAAGCCATGGAAGATGGTGCTCTTGACACTTGCACAACATTTGAAGTCCTCTCAGCATTTGTATGGATAGCTAGAACCAAAGCACTGAAAATGTTGCCAGATCAGCGAACAAAGCTTCTTTTTGCTGTTGATGGGAGGGCTAAGTTCAACCCTTCTCTTCCAAAAGGGTATTGTGGCAATGGAATTGTGCTAACAAATTCTGTGTGTCAAGCTGGTGAGCTAACAGAGAAGCCCTTCTCATTTGCTGTGAGTCTCATTCAAGATGCAATCAAAATGGTCACAGACAGTTACATGAAATCAGCTATAGACTATTTTGAGGTAACAAGGGCAAGGCCTTCTCTAGCATGCACCCTTCTCATCACAACTTGGTCAAGGCTTTCTTTTCATACCACTGATTTTGGATGGGGAGAGCCTGTGCTGTCAGGTCCTGTGTCATTGCCAGAGAAGGAAGTGATTTTGTTCCTTTCTCATGGCCAAGAGAGGAGAAACATCAATGTGCTTCTGGGGTTGCCAGCTCCTGTCATGAAGATTTTCCAAGATTTGATGCAGATATAGGGTCATCTATATATTTTAATTATATATGATTCTGTTATTTATTTCTTAGCTTATGTTTCTGTTGTTTCCTGAATGAAAAGAGAGGACTTATTCTGTTTATGAATTTATTGGTGCTAATCATCAATAATTAAAGCCACCCTTATGTTTTGTTCATGAATTTAATTTATATGCAAAATTTTCAGCAGTTTAACAAACATTTGGTGCTTTCTAGAGTGACACAAACTTTCTCACTAGAATTGGATCTTTGTGGGATTTGTTTAGGTGAGATTATGCGCCCTTTAGGTAATCTAGATTTCTCTGATCATGAAAAATAAAACTTACAGTGAAACGTAATCCAGCAAAATTTTTTATACCCAACACCTACCAAAACATCTTGATTTGAGTTCAAATAAGTTAGAATTTGAAGATTTATGTACAAGGATTGCAATTGATTTGGTTGGTATTTAATGTACAAGTTATTTTTCCGAGCAAATTAATGTAAATTGATTGAAATTGGCATATGCTATAGGATTGTTTTAGATAAGGGTGCAGAATTTTATTTTTTTTTATATTTATATATTGTGTAGTCTAATTATTTATTTTTCTTATTAACGGAAAGTACTTTTTACCAAAGTGTGGACATGAACACATCATCCGTAGATTATCTAAAGCATTGGATCAATAAGGATCGATGTAGTTATCAAATATTAATAGGACGTAGTCTTTCGAAAAACAAGGATATACTATTTCTTGTATATTAACTTTATACATTCTCAAAAATAAATTATTCAAACTTTATACAAAATAAATTTTAATGATATCATTAATCAAAGTGACGTATCTTGACAAATTACTCGGTTTTAAATTGAAAATTTTGAAAAATCTTTTAAAAATCATAAACGCATCTTAAGTTGAGACAATTATTACAGATTTCCAATGTGGATGATGAACAAAAGCTACCAACTATTTTGCTGTCAATGGCTTTATCTGGAACAGAAGACTTACCTTAGTATATGGATCGATTCACTCTGCGTATATTCCATCAGTTCTGGTTCTGAAGTATCGTCAACGTCGCATCTGCTACATTTATGAGATCAAATTATTAAGAACTAGAGCAGCATCGTTCAGAACCCAACAAAGTTCTATAATTGAACAATTGGCACTCACTGTTTCAAATGGAGTGTGGTTAAAATTTATAAAAAATTGTTACCTAATGTAGCAATGGCAATGCAAAAGGTGCAACAGCTGTGTTGGATTGTAGCAGATATCCAATTACAGTAATTAGTGGAATCACACACAAATTATATTATTATTTTTTATTTAATAGATTTAGTAAAATTTATAAAAGAAAGAGGAATTTTAGGATGATCCATAGCTTGTGATAAAAAAAATGAGAAAATTTAAAACAAATAAGAAGACGTGTGATTTTAAATATAAATAATAATGTTATAATACGTAAAAATATAAAATAAATCCGGAAATACATCACAATAACTGAATCTGCAATGATAGTAATAAAAACTGCGACATGGTTCCACTAATTACTCAATTTAAAATACTGTTTGGCTGTAGCAAAAACTGATCTCGAACTTGTGCAGTGAAAGGGCATCTCGAGTTGATACATTAATCTCATAACTTGGATGTTTTTTTGGAGAGGAACAGTGTGTGATTGTGGAGCTGAGTGATGTCCCTTCTCACATGCTGCTAGTATTTGGTGTCTCACCTTGCAACATGTTTGTGAGTTTGGGTTGTTGCTAAGCAAGTTTCACGACTCAAACACTCTGGATTATGAATTGAACTTAAATATGAATTGAGCTTGGCAAGTTTTAATTGTGGATAGATGCAGGTGATTTTGGGTTTCTTCCTCCGTTCTACACAAAAGCCAACATGCAATCCATATACTCTAACAAGCGAGTTCGATTGAGAAAATCCCATTCCTGTCCAGTACCGTGTAAACAAATACGATGGAATTTTGAGTGGGTTGATGTAAGTTGGATTACAAATTACCATGCCAGCCCACTTACATGGTTTTGTAAATAATAATTTGTTATTTTGAAAAAAGTCTAAACATCGCAAGTTTTCATAAAAATAAGTTGGCTTACGAACCTTTAACCTTATAATTTAACTCTAAAAAAAGGCTATTCAAAGTGAATTTGTTTGTAAAATGAAAAAGTAATAAATTATTCACTCTTAAATTCTTGTAGGTTAATATAATGGTATAGTTAAAATTAAATCAACAATCACGTAACTCTTTGCTTTCTCACTTTGTAAATAAATTCACTTTAAAGAAGTCTTCATTTATTCCATAGATAATGAGATAGGGGATTTTTCATATTGATAGATTGCATAACTATATAATTAATTCCACTTTTTATTATAATTGTACGTACGTGGTACTCTTTAATGTACTTGTCCCATGAGATGCTTTTAGTTGCGTTGCCAATAGTTCTTTGGTTGTGTTCCCAATCCATGCAAAATCGAATGCTGACGAGTCCACCCATAACATGTTTGTATGCACTACTAGTTGTTGCTCCTCTCTTGAATTCATGTTTCCAAGTTTCTTAACGTGTTTTCAATCAGACACTACTTTCCAGGCCAAGGTTGAATCGTGCTTGAAATTCATGGTTGATGGTAAAACAACTGTGTTCAGCGTATACGCCTTGCTCGTCCATGGAGACAAAATTAAAGGATAGAAATAAAAAAAGATTTTTTTCAAAAGAATTAGTAATGTCAGGTGGTTTAATATTGATAATTAGTTATTTACTATTATTATCTTGTTAAAAAAATAGTAGGGTAATTCTTATTTGGTGAAGTGATACAAGAGAATGGAAATAAAGTTATTTTTTCCAGATTGCATAAGCCATGTATAGATTGGTTTTGGAAGTGCAGAGGTCCAAATAGTTAAGAGTTTGATTGTGTAAGCATCGTCAGGGTTTTACACTTGTCACTCAATTTAATGACGAAAAAAAATTACTTCTCAATCAATTTTAGTTGAAAGCTATCTTGCGTGAAATTTTATTTAAAATTAGAAATCACCTTTTTAAGTTGAGTTTGACTATAGAAATTCAACCTCACCTTTAGAGTATGACTGGATAGATGAAAGAGAAAATAATAGAGAGTATAAAAAATAAATATAGAAAATGATTATGAACGGAGTTTGCTATATTTTTCAGCTTAGTATCATGCTAATCTTCATACTATTTTATAAAATAAAAAATAAAAAAATTATTCATTATCTTAAAAATATAAAAAATATTTAATACTTTTTATTTAATAATTAAGAAAATTAATTTAAAATTACACATGGAAATATAAGTTGTTTGACTATGGAGTATGACTAGGGGGCACACTGCACAGAGGCACACAGACATTTGTACTCGCACTATGGATCAGAATTTCACCCCTTGAAATGGAAAGTTGCTTCTTTTTTTGCGATTAACACACTAACATAGCATGTGCGCTGTTTACTTATTTCAGTAAATGATCAGAAGTTCTTTATTGCTGTTGTAAACATCATAACGTTACGAAGAGTGCATCAAATTTCTGCGTCATGCACTCTTGCTATTTGTTGTTGCAGAGTTTTGATGACATTTTTCTCCTTCGATGCCTTGCCCAACAGCATTTCATTTCTTTAGTTGTGTCAAAAATCTTAACAGCTTAGAATGGAGGAGGGTAGAACCGTTGAAAATAGCATTCGTGTACCATAGCATATTTTGGAAACTATATAATTTGTTCAAAGAAGGAAAATGGAAAATCAATCTTCAATAGAGACGTACCTTCGTATTCATGAGGTACGCTAGAAAATTAATATTAGGCAACACAAAATAGAAATGTATTGTTATAAAAAAAGAAGAGGAAAACACACTATAGACGTGTTATTAATACAAGCGAATCATACAATAATTCACACAACACAATATACATTTTAGTTCATATTTGTTAGGGAGTGAGACTTTATTATTTAATGGAATTCACTTATATTTTAATTAACCTTAATAAAAAAAAATTGGATAAAAAGTGTATAACGATATATATTTTTTTTCTTTGACATATGTTAACATTTTCCGACAAAGAAAATCACGATCCAAGCTTCTATGGTGTGTACTTTTAGTCCAAGTGCTGCAGCGTTAATTGAGTGTTTGTCAACCTCTTGATGACAACTTTTAGCAGGAGAAGCATGTGCTGAGCCATGCTGGCATGTACAATTCACTGACCATTTGATACTTCAGCTTCTTGATTTCGTTGCCTTCTGAATGTGAAGACCTTCCATTTTTTATTTTTATTTTTAATTACTACCATTATAATTCTAGTCAATTCAGGAATTTGGTAATTACTATGCTTGTATTGTATTCTTTGGCATATTTACAGGATAATCATGTTTACTGCCTCTTCAACACTTAGGTTGACTTTTTTTTTTTTAAATTATTAGTTTAAGGTTAAATCAGTAATTTAGTCTTTTAATTTATTTTTTAAGTTTTAACTTAATTTTAAATTCGTTCTTTAACTCTAAAATTTATGAGATAAATCTCTTAAAAAGTATTAAAATTCTTATAACATTTGACTAAATTTTATTTCTTTGATAATATTATTTTGAGAGTCATTTATTCGGTGAAGGTCATGGTAAATTAATGTATTATATGACTCACAGATAAGTTAAGATAATGATTTGCTATAATATGTTTTATAAGTTATAGTATTTATAATTTAATTTTTGATAAATTTTATAGGTTAAAGATTTTAAAATATTAGATATTTAAAAGAAGTCTTTTAAAGTATTTTGAAAGACAAATATTTTTTAAAAACATAATTATAGTAATTTCTTTATTTTTTATTTACGTAAAACTCAACTTTATTTTTTAAATTCACTTCTATCTTTATTTCTCAAAGCTAATTCAAACATTTTTTTTTTTGTAATTCTAGTAACTAATTGATAGTAGATTCAGTTGTTGTAATTAAAATTTAAGCGAAAAAGCTCTGAAAGAGATTTTCAAAGCAAGATATTAAATAATCAAGTAATTTTT